TTAGGCTTTAGGGTGTAGGGCTCAGGGCTATGAGGGCTCAGGTGACTGGTCTGAAATCTTTGCGGACGAAGCCTGTGGGAAGATGGTAGCAGACATACACTGGCAGCGACATTTAAACTACAGGTCCCCGGGTCATGTGTAACCTGAGATGTAGAGCATCCGGGGTTCCCATAGTGTCTGCTTTCAACGGTCTTTCACAAGCCACACTGCCGTCATGCGAGTTTGCCACAAATAAACTGAACATTTTCGACAGATTTAGCAAGGATCATCACGTAGCCGTGGCAAGCTGGCAAGCTGTCTTGCAGAGTCTTCGCAATCTCTACGTCTGGCAGCATGTCGCATCCATATGGAAACGCAAGTGATGGCATCGTTTGTGGCAAAATCCACCGAAGAGCCCACGGCCGTATCAACACCGCTCAATGCCCCAATCCGGCTCCTGCCGCTGTTTGATGACGACTTCGTGCAGCTTGGGCTCCGTTCAAACGAGGACGTTCATGCTGGACTCGGCTTCCGTAAACTCCATCTCAACCATGATGGCGGTGAAGTATTCCGCACCTTCGCCAACATCTCCTGGGTCACGACACTTCTTTCATGGACGGCCTCCCCCTTGCCTTCCAGTCTTTCACCATCCTCATGCCACTGCTCCGCGCGCTTCCCTTTTTTCGGAAGGAGCCGCGAACAAGAAGACCAGGATCAGGCTTATATACGAGACCTGTAAGTGAGACGCTTGGTAGTTCCAGCATAGTACCAAGGATATTGTCCTTCAGAGCGTTGTCGACACTACAGGAAGGTCCCAAGAAGGGCGGCTTTCCATTGCACGAATCCAATCTCCAGCACAGCCATGGACGGATCGAAAACCCTCACCATCTCCTCGAAGGGCATCGTTGACGATGCCGGGCACTTCCATCAAGCTCAGGTAGAGATTGTGTTCGCTGAAATCCACCAGAAGGCCCTCTGTTGCTTTGCAAAGAGCTTCCGCACAGGCTTCGAGCACAGTGACGCAAGGAAGGGCCTGCGGTATTCACACCTCATCACCGATGGAAGTCGGTCAGCCACCCACCAAGCCGAGCCGGGACCTGCCTCGTTCAATCTTCGCTAGGCACGCCCTGTAGATGCCAGCAACCTCCAGAGGCGCGATTGATGCATATTCCTTGGCTGGTAGGTAAAGGTAGTGCCTAGACCTGAACCCTAAACTCCGTCAGCATCGTCGTCGAAACCACGATCACGTCATCGACAACATCAGCATTCCGAGTACGCGACGTTTAAGTCGAAATTGTCGATACTAGCCGATCACAACGTGAAAAAGAACCAGAACAGCAGCAACCTGAATCCAAAACCCTGCAAACCCTGAACCTTCAACCTCAACCTCAACCCTATATAAAAATCCAACCCGTAAACCCCAAACCCCAAGCCCTGAACCCCAAACCCTGAACTCACCCCAACCCCTAACCCCAAAGCCCCAACCCCAAACCCAGCCCCCCAGCCAGCCCGAACCAGCCCAAACCAGCCCAGCCCAGCCCAGCCCAGCCCAGCCCCAGCCCAGCCCAGCCCAGCCCAGCCCAGCCCAGCCCAGCCCAGCCCAGCCATTCGCCACACCAGCCCAGCCAGCCCAGCCCAGCCAACAGACCAAAGCCCGCCCCAGCCCAGGCAGCCCAGCCCAGCCCACCTCAGCCAGCAGCCCAGCCCCCAGCCCATAAATGTGGTTCCAAAAAAAACTTTCGCCCAGCTTTCGGTCAAAACGTTTTTGGCACCCAAGCCCTTAACAATTTCTACAAACCCCAAAACCCTGGCCAGGGCGCTCCCGGCTGAAGAAGATCCGGATCCCGAGCAGAAGCAGCGGGGGCGACAGCGGGTGGGGCCTCGCTTTGCAGCCAACTTCGGAGGCTGAGGTGCACCTACCTCCGTAGGGTTTAGGGTTTAGGGTTTAAGGTTTAGGGCTTTGGGTTAAGGGTTTAGGATTAGGGTGTAGGGTTTAGGGTTAGGGATTTGGGTTTAGGGATTAGGGTTAAGGGTTTACAGATTAGGGCTTTTCGGGTTTAGGGTTTGGGTTCGCATAGGGTTCTATGGGGTTCTTTTGAGGCTCGTAAGTTTAGGAAGTTTAGTATGCCTCTATGCGGTGCTTCGAGGGTTCGGTAGGGCTCTTCTGGGGTTTCATAGGGTTTAGTGTGCCTCCATAGGGTTCAGTATGTTTCTAGGCTTCTTTTCAAGTTTTGCATGCGTGTAGTATCCTGTGCAAGGGTTTCTGGAGGTTTCTATAGGGTTTTTCTAGGGTTTCTGGGATTTAGTCTGGTTTTGTTATGGGGTAGGCTGGCCCTGAATGAAGTCCCTAATCCCCCTAAAACCCTAAACCCTGAACTCCTTGACCCCTTATGACATGAGGGGTTTCGGCAGGAACTAGGAGACCAGGAGCTCCTTCTTCTGGGTACTTTTCAGGGTTAAAGTTTAGGATTTAGGGTTTAAGGCTTAATGCAGGGGCCTAAATAATTACCAATACTATTTTGGGAGTTCCTTGTTATAGTTATAATCATAGTATATTGGGCCCCAAAAACCTATTCTAATTAATAAGGCCCCTATATCAGGGTACTTTCAAGGTTCCATATCAGGGTTCTGTTCTGAATGTCCCAAATCCGAAATTCAGGTTTACAGTCGAACCTGCCCCCAAACCGAGAAGCCCAAAAGAGCGTGAGCCTTGTGATTCGCCTCGAAGGCAGCCTCCTTTGCAGAGACGACAGGATGCTGATTTCTTTAAGGTCTGTTCTGCAGTTTCCCGTCTTGCGGGTTTAGGGTTTAGGGTTTAGGGCATGACGACAAGTATATGGACCAACACGCAACTTGTGGATACATCGGCAACTCTTAAAGGCCAGAGACTGTGCAACAAAGTTCGTTGTGTCACGTTGCTTCCGGCCGCCTTGGGGGATAGGGTATGTGTTCGAGAGAGACGTTAACCTTTAAACAACCGCCCTATCCTCTTATCATGGTCAAGAGTTTATAAGCTAGATGAGAGTACCTCACATCATGGTATTTCTTGTGGCCCAGAGTGTGATCTAGGCCTTAATTGCGCAGGTTGGGGTGGACGTTGTCGCGACATGGATTCGGGTATCTGATGTCGGAAACAGCGGTATTTACTGCAGAGGCTGGGCCAAACACGCATGCATCACTCCAATGGAGGAGGTTTGATGAGCACCCGCCTGACACGTCTCCAAAACAAAGTTCGACAAACTTACCTCTAGCGCAGCAACCGTCCTCCAACGACGCCGGGCGCAATGCTGCAGCTCCGATGCCACATGTGCGCACGCGCAGAAGTTGCATACCTTCTGCACATTCGGGTGCTGAGCTTCACGGATTGGGATGTAAAAACCTGAATGCTAAACCCTCTATAAAGAGCAACAATGACAAAGCTTTAACATATCGTGGCGCGTAAACGCTTCGTTGAAAGACGCGACTTGAAGAGACACGAGATGTGGTAGCAAGGCCCTGCGAGTTTCGAGCTCGGCGCAGCGCTACGGATCAGATTAAGGGAGACCATCTACTCCTTGAATAAAGAATACCCCTTAAATATTAGAGGGATCCGTAGGATGCATTTGATTACATATTGGGCTCATTTGAGCTCTCTGGAGAGCTGCATGAGATGAATGGGCCTCAAGAACGTATGGAAGGCACAGTCGATCCGCGCACGCAACCTGAAAGCAGACAGTCTCAGCCCACCATCCTCGGAATCAGAGCTCCCATAAGACAACACCCCGGAGCCCTAGAGCTCTAGACTCTCGAATTTCCAACCCCGACAAAACTTGTCCACACTGCCCCAGGGCTCTGCGTCACGCAACTTCAGATTTCGAAACTTAGCACCTAGCTTCTGCATTGCAGGCTGCCCTCTAAAGATAAAGCGTCCGGAACGACTGGAAACCTGCCAATCGCATGAAAAATCCGAACAACCAAACTTCAATTCTAAACCCTAAACCCTAAACCCTATTCCGCAGCGGGCAAAGGCCAGGGTGCAGCAGTAGCCACAGCCCCGTAGCATCCGGCGCACCATGCGGAACCGTCCCTGCGGTGTTCATGAGGGCTGTATACCTTAACCCACCAGAACCTACTTTTTTGTAGGGCCCCTATAAACCCCATATTAGGGTTTATAATCGGAACCTACAAAAAAGTGGGTTCTGGTAGGTTAAGGTAGAGGTTCCAGAGGAGATGTATCAGGATCTGTATACGGCTTTTAGGCTTTAGGGTCTGAGATGTCTAGTTGCTTCAACAGCATAACGGATTGAGTTCGTGACAAACTTCGAGCCCAAGGATCTCGGCTCGTTGCTTCACAATAGGAGGAATCTTGGACACAAGCTTTGGGAGCAGGAGGGTCTGAAGTCTTCAGAAACTGGGATTAGGCAGGCCCCTTACGAGTAAAGCTCGACCTTGCAGTCGCTTGATCCTGAATCCTACTTCACCGGCAAAAACCTGCTTCTTCGGTAGGGTTGCCTTCGAAATCCGAAGGCCCAAACCTCAAAATCGACTCCTCCGTCACCACGATGCGCAGCCGGGCAAAGCGGCCGTCGAAAGCCATCACTTCGGCCCTCACGGCTTTGGCCTCAAAAGGTCCAAGGAAGCCCCAGGATTTGAACACACGTCTTAAGCTGTAGGGGACGTAATAATGAGAATAGGGTTTTGGGGTAGATTATACTATAGTTACAATAAGGAACCCCCAAAATAGTATAGGTAATATTAGGTAATTATTTAGGCCCCTGTGTTAGACTGCAGGGCTTATGATTCTTTCTTGCAGACTGAATAGGAATCCTGCAACCGCACAGCCGAGAGTTAAAGTTCTTGCATCTCCCCTCAGCCCTGTCTTTCGACATGCTGCACCTGTGACCCGACCTACCCAACCTGAGTTTTCCAGGCACTCCAAATTCCAAAGTCACGGCTTTTACGAGGCCTCCGCGGAAATGCCAGAGTCCTTCGCCCTTGAACCCCAAACCCGGACTTGTCTTTGAATAGACGGCCCGAGCAGCCACAAAGCCATCGGAGAGCTCGACTCCCTCGACCTCGCTCTTTCTTTTCCACAGCTTGGGTTTAGGGTTTAGGGTTTAGGGACTTGGCATTGAAGCTTCGGAGGTTCCGAACTTCGGTGCCGGGACACTAGAAGGGCTCAGCTTGTTTAGGGGAGCCTCAGTGAAGGGACATTGGGGTTCTTGACTGGAGCAGCTGCGTCCCTTTTAATATCCATCGCGCAGCTAAGTACAAGCTAGGGTGTTAGGGCCTAAGGCTTTGCCCGGACCGACGAACTGCAAACAGTAAACGACAACTTCGAAACCCAATGGTGTAAAGGTCTGCTAGATCAGAACTGCAAAAACTGGTTTTATCTGGTTTTCGCAACTCGTCCAACTTGTATCCTGTGTTAGCTTTAGGGTTTAGGGCTTAGGGCTTAGGGTTTAGGGTTTAGGGATTAGCTGTGGGCATTCTGCAGAAAGCGTACTTCTGCGATCCTCCCAGGAGTATGGATCGGTCAGCAGCTTTAGGCTCAAGGCTTCAAGTTTCTCTGCCTTTGGGAGTTTGGCTTAGGATGATTTAAGGCTTCCGGGCTCTGGGCCACAGAGCATTGGAGTTTATAACTGGAGGCTCAAGTGAAAAACATTAAGTAGGTTATAAAGAGACTTACTTCTAAGCTGCGTAAGGCCCTACGACTAGCAGTGACTAGCACGCATGCGACAGCGGAAGGCCGACAGCGCCAAGGCCTGACAATATAACCGTGGGAAGAAAAACCCTGCATCCAGAAACAGAAGCCCTACTATTTCCTGAACCCAAAGAACTCAGAGCCCTCGACCCCTAAACCCGGAAACCCTAAACCCGAAACCCTAAACCCTTAACCTCTGAACCCTTAACCCCAGACCCTCAAACCCCTGAACCCTTAAACCCCTAAACCTCTAAACCCTAAACCCTAAATCCTCAAACCCCTAAACCCTGAAACCCTAAACCCTCAAACCCCTAAACCCTGGAACCCTAAACCCTTAAACCCCTAAACCCTTAAACCCCTAAACCTCTCAACCCTAAACCCTACACCCTCAAATCCCTAAACCCTTAAACTCTTAAACCCGAAACACCTAAACCCCCCAAGCCCTTAAACCCTAAACTCTTACATCCCAAAAAAGGGGCATCATCTTCGAGTCTCAGGGACGAGGCGGCGAAGGCATTCCGGGGAGGGCGCCGCCCGATCCTGCGAGCAAAAAAGAGCTTTTGGGTTTTTGGGTTCAGAGCTTTAGGGTTTAGGGTTTAATGTTTAGGGTTTAGGGCTTAGGGTTCAGAGCTTAGGGTTTGCGCCTGGGGGTTTGGGATTGAGGCTTTTGGGTTTTAGGGCTTTTTGGTTTATAGGGGGTATAGGGTCCAGGTGTAAAGTTTAAGGTTCAGGATTAGGGCTTCAGGGCTTAGGCTCAAGGGGAGTTTGGGTCTTGGAAGCTTGGGTTTGAATCTAAGGGGCCCTGATAGGGGCCCCTTGATGATTAGAATAGGGAGTTTGGGGGTAAAGTATGCTAGAACTACCTAAAGATACTCGTAGTCATTCCGGCCGTTTGGGTTTCGGGTGGGCCGGTGATTTTGGAGGGAGGGATGAGCTGGGCATTAGGTTCCGTTTAATGTAGGTGCCTTATTCATTAGAATAAGGTTTTGGGCTCCTTTATAAGATAACTATAATGAATAAGGGACCCCCAAAATAAATAGAATTGGTAATCATTAGGCCCCTAGCTTACTTGTTCTAAAGGGGGCGTGGTGGGTTTAGGGTTGGGGGCTCCTAGTCCAGAATCAGAGCACTTCCTTCTTGCAGCGCCCGGTTTAGGGTTTAGAGTTTAGCGTTTCGGGTTTAGGGTTTAACGTTTCGGGTTTAAGGTTTAGGGTTTAGGGTTTAGGGTTTAGGGTTTAGGCATCGCCCGGTCCTTGGCGCAGCAGGTCAGCGCCACGTACTCCTCGCACAGGGAGGTGCTCCCAAGTTTTTTTGACCCCGCCAGATACCACCGCCACTTCGTCAAAACCATGCTGAAAAAAAAAGTAAAACCTGTATTCATTTGACCTTCTGACCTTGAGAAGCAATCTGAGGCGAATGCTTGCACGAAGCCTCCGAAAAACTCCGGAAGCATCCTTCCTTAGCAGCACGACTTATCACATGGTTCCCACGCCCTGATGGATCCTTCTCGAAGGACTTGTCGGGGGCTGTCGCGAAATGGGTGAAATGGCCGTCCGTGGTGAGCAGCAAGAGCCCCTCGCTGTCACGGTCCTCTCGTGCCAGGTTGAACGGCTTCGCCATATCTAAGGGATTCCAGCCTTCACGTGGGACGTTCGCAGGGTCTTGAAAATCAGGGTCCTACCAGTTCCTGGGCGGAAGAATCACAACATGGCCATGAAGTGAACACCATGAAGCCATTATGCTTATCGACAGACTACCAAGGCATGGTGCTGTTCATTCTCGAGGCTGCTCGAGGTTGCGTACCCCCCGAATCTGCTGAGCCCGCAATCTCCAAGCGAAATCCTGTCAGATATGCGTTTTCTATGATCCCTTTACTCATCGTACAGTGTCCCTGCAACACCCATCTTCGTTGTGTCCGCGGTGTATTGCGAACCTGGTTCATAGAATTCAAACCCACTCTGCCGCAGTCCAGCCGGCCCGCATTGTGGAGGGAGCTTGGAGCGTCTGCAGGGTAAAAACCTCACCAAGAACATGGCAGCTTAAGCTCCTCAAAAAGATGTTGGGATCAAGGGATGCAAGCGGAGGATCCTGGTAACCGTAAAGGATTCGAGGGTTGGGTGCCCTTTTTTGTCGGCTTCTGTTTACAGGAGCTGAAGTTTCAGCAACTTGGACAAAGCTTAGCGACCTGCGGGATGATCCCTACGAGCCGGCAAGCACATGGTAGAGTCGAAGACAACACCCAACAACGAAGTCAGCATTCTGCGACAATGTAAGCCTAGGACTGCTAGCGCTCTAACCTGTCAAGCCTCTCAGACGCCACGAACCTTACAAGAGACTTCTAAGCCTCGAACATGAACCCTCAAATCCCTAGGCGCCCTCAACCCTAAACCCTAAACCCCTAAACCCTAAACCCGAACCTTGTGGCATTCCTCCGGTCCCAGCGACTCGCAATGACGGGGCGTTGGCTGGACTTCTCGTTGTGGGAGGTGACCACCCCACGGGGCTTGAAGAACTTCCTTGGGCTTCGGGGCTTCGGAGGATCTGGGGTTTAGGGTTTAGGGTTTAGGCTTTAGGCTTTAGGGTTTCGGATTGAGGGTTTAGGATATCACGCCCTTAAGCTGCCTACCTTCACACGTATGACAAGCTCGGAGTTATGATCGCAAATCAAGGAGTGTACGAGCAGAGTTGGTTTTTGGAGTAATGAAGCTCTGAACCCCAAACCACCGAGCGTCAGATATGCGTCGCTGGGCGCATCCACTGCCACATCCTGGCCGTCTTCACCCAAAACCAGCACCTGCAGCTGCAAGCTCAAACCCAGCTGAACCCCAAACCCCTCCGCAAATCTTACGCCACTCCACAAATCTTACGCCACGAAACCTACATAACTCCCTAAATCCTAAACCCTAAACCCTAAACTTTGAATCCCTATAGGACAATCTGTTGTGGCGAGAATTGCTAGGAAGGTGAGGCCTGGAGATTCCAGGGGCCTTCCAGGATTCCGGGTCAAAAGAAACGCATGGAAGCAGAAAAGATCCCCCAGTTTGGATAAAGGAAACTACAGGTGGGGAGTTCAGGGTATATAGGGCTTCTATAAGGTATATAGACCGAAGGCTCCTATAACGGTAACTACCCACCTGACAACGTGCTAGATTTGGGGCTTTTAGAAGCACGCAACAGGAGCACGATTACTAATCCCCCATACGGAACAATCCTTAGCTGCTCTTCCATCTCTACAGATAGGGCGATAGGGTGAGGGCGGGGTTTGACTAGGGGCTTGGAGAGTTAAGCATTTCGAGTTTGTAGCAGTGCAAACACAGGGTTTAGGGTCTCCACAGTTTAGGGCTCAAGGGGTTTAGGGGTTTTGGGTTTGCCTACAGTCTCCATGGTAGTTCCTTTTTTGGGTTTAACCAATTCTATATTGAGGATTCTTCAAGGTAGCCCCAAAAAGGAACTACACTGGAGCCTATACTGGCTTGGCCCCTCAAAGCCTCTGAAAAATATTCGTAAATAAGATTCTCTTAAGCCCAATAAGGGAACATATAACATGTCCCAAAGGCCTACCTAGTATAGGTAGGGCTTATATGGGGGTTCAGGGGTTCAGGGTAGAACTCACGTCCCTCCCATGCCTCGGCGTCCCGACTCACCAGGGCCACGGGATCAAACTCCCGCTGACCATCGACGGCCACACGGCCGTCCTGGTTTAGGGTTTGGGGTTTAGGTTGGAGGGTGTAAGCTTCAGGGTTCAGGATTTAAGGGTTTAGGGTTTAGGGTTTAGGGGTTAGGGGTTTGGGGTTTAGGGGTTTAGGGTTTAGGGCTGACGATCTTTGACCGGCTTTCCACACGCCTTCTCAGGAGCTGCTCATGACGGCAGCAACATAGGTCTATAAGCCAAAGCCCCAAGACCTTTAGCCCCCTGAAAACTTGAAAAAAAAGACTTAGCCGCCAAATCCGAAGCCCCAAACCCCAAGCTTAAACCGCAAACCCGAAATCCTGAACCTCAAAACCTGAGCCGTCCACCCTGCATCTCAATCCCTGAAGCTTCGGCGGCAAAGGCATCGCGCGGTCCTCCACCAGGCGTAGCGCCTGTCGTTCAGGAGTGGCGCTTCGGGAGTTCTGAACCGGGGTTCCGGGGTTCAGGGCTTAGCGGTTTAAGTTGCTTTTTTATGGGTAGGTGTTAAGGGTTCAGGGTTTAGGGAGCCCAGCCCAATACCCTTCGATGAAATGTTGGAGTTACTATACAAAGACATGCACATGAAACAAGGAATTTTCGTTCCTCTCTGCAGCAATGATGTGCTCCCTGGGCTCCGGGTTGTAAGGAATTGAAAAGGACCCTTGTATTGGGCGGCCTCGGGCAACTCTGAGGGCGACGCTTTAGGGTTAAGGGTTTAATGTCGGGGCCTTTAATAATTAGAACAGGGTTTTGGGGGCTCCTTATTATCATTCTGGTATAAGATACCCCAAACCCCATTCTAATTATTAAGGCCCCTACATTAGGGTTTGGACGGCGCTTGGCCTTCCTTTGAAGATGGTGCTGCCGGAGGCATGGGGCAAGGACAACGCCAGAACCGAAATCATAATTTGCATGAGGGCCATGCGACCCAAATCTTTCGCCCTGAAGCCGGCAAATCCTAAAGCCATAAACCCTGAAGTGGCACACCCTTAATTTATTAACACAGCCTCAACCCTCAAACCCGGCAAGACCGGAAGCCTTACAAACCTAACATAAGGGCCTTAATAATTAGAATAGGGTTTTGGGTAGATTATACTATAACTATAAAAAGGAAGGCCCCAAAATAGTATTAGGTAACTATCAAGGCCCCTATGTTGAACCCTAAAGTCGTCAACCCGAAACCCTAAACCCCAAACCCTAAACCCTAAACCCAAAATCCTAAACCCAAAACCCTAAACCCAAAACCTAAACCTTAAACCCTAAACCCAAAACCCGAAACCTAAACCCTACACCCTTAAACCCTTAAACCNNCCCTAAACCCTAAAATCCCTAAAAAGTCGTCAACCCGAAAGCCGCAAAAGGACCCCTCCGGCACCTGCGGCAGGAAGAGGCGCTCGCGCGAAGGGTCTCGGGCCGGGGTCTCCATGAGATGCCCTGGGAATGTTTATAGGGCCCCCCAACAAGGGGGGGGTAGGGTTTAGGGTTTA